CACAAATGTTGCACCTGTTGATGTATGTCTTAAGAAGCCTAAGGTAGGGAAGTTTGGTAGGCGGAAGTTACTCTCCATCTCCTTTCTCATAGCATGGCGCATGGAAGAGAAGATTTTGGCTTTAACATTTCACTGTGAGCTTCCTGTTTGTTCCATGGTCATGGGCCTTTAGTACCAAGTTTACTTGAAAACCTTGTGAAATTATTTATGCAGAAAGAAAGAATGAGGAACCTTGGGTAATGAGAAAGCAACCAGCCAGGTCTGCAAAAACTCCAACATGGATGGTTTATAACTAACTGGAAAAACATGTCTCATCTCAGTTGCTTAATCCTTTTTGCAGTGCTGGGGGCCTAAACTGTTCCAGAAGGTTTAAGGAGCATAATCAGCTCCCAAGGTGGTCAGCACAGTGACAAAAAGGAAAAAGGGCTCTGCCTGCCTCTGAGGGTCCTTCAGTCATGGCCAGCTCTGTCTAGGGGAGCAAAGAACCTGTCCATTCTCAGCCTTCCTGGCTATGGCAGGGTCATGGGGTTGGGAGAGCAGAGCGTGGGCACTTGTTCTGGCTGGAAACTTAGCCTTCGAAACAAGGCTCCAGAGGCAGAGTTTGAGACCCAAACAGGAGAAGGAGATGGCCAATGTTGATGCTCTCAGAATGGAGAGTCCTGAACTGTCTGATTATAAGCGCAGTGTTGGGTCCTTACGTACTTTTACAAAGTTATTTTCAGAGACACAGAAGTCAGTGAACCCACTTTCTCTCCCTCATTGGAGTTCTCTGGAAAAGAGTGTTCCCAGGGACAGATGATCTGATGGGGCCACGGCCCCACCAGCGTCCTTAAGAAGGAAAGCTCTGTCAGCAGAGGGAAGCTCAGCCCTGGTTGATCACACAGGCTACACTAGGCCGGGATCTGTGGACACCAACAGCCTGCCCTAAGGCTCCAAAGTCAGAGAGTCCCGGTCAGTCCTGGTCCTGGCTTTGCTAGCCAGGCTTAGTCCCTGGCTTCATCTCTTGGGGGACTGATGTGGTGTTGTTTGTGAGATGGAGCAAATGGCATTGCTCCTACCCCCACCAGGGTGGCATCAGGATGAAATGCAACATGGGAAGTACCCTTCCCCAACTCCCATGGACCAAGTGGTGATGCTATTAGAGTTATATGGGTTTGTGGTTTCCCCTTACTGTTTCCACTTCCTTCCTGAAACCCTGTAAGAGGCTTCATGGGAAAGGAAGTGTCTTTTAGATGCCTGAGTGCAGCTGGGAATAGCTGTTCCCAGTTAGCCAGGCTGGTTGGAGCCCAGGGTGAGTTGGCTGGGTTGTGGGTTTGAACAGCCAGAGCCACTGAGGCACAGCTGACCCACTGCCAAGTGCTGCCAACCATCCTGCCAATGCTACCATTGCTCATGCCTGGGAGATGTTCCAGCATTGACTGAAAGGGTTGCTGGGTCTTGTCCTGCTCAGGACAGGGCACTGAAGAGTGATCTATTGTCATACTCTAAGGACAGATCTGGGTCCTGTGCCTCCCAGGTACCCTGAACACAGAATGCACATGACAGGACCCCAGCCCATGGGCACAGCCCCTCTTGTTAGCATTGATTATGTGCTTATGTGAAATGCACCCGTCCTTGAAGAGGGGGACAGCCAGTGATTAAAACAGTTGAGGGTAGGTCACCAGGCTATTTCAGGCTCCATTAGGAAATGGCTCTGAGAGGGTTACTTTAGAGCAAGGGAAATGTGTCCCTGTTGGAGGGGCTCTGTGCCTGGCCAGCCCCTTACTTTAAATCCTGGCCTACTCCAGCCACCCAATAATCTTCATTAGGTGGCTCTGAAGTAGGAACTGCTGCTTAATTTGCAGGGATCAACACAAAATGAAAATCGATAATTTTCAGAAATTAAGATTTCTGTGGGCTGGGTGCAGTGGTTCATGCCTGTAATCCCAGCACTTTAGGAGGCCGAGGCAGGCGGATCACGAGGTCAGGAGTTCGAGACCAGCCTGGCCAACATGGTGAAACACGGTCTGTACTAAAAATACAAAACTTAGCTGGGCATGGTGGTGGGTGCCTGTAATCCCTGCTACTTAGGTGGCTGAGGCAGGAGAATCACTTGAACCCTGGAGGTGGAGGTTGCTGTGAGCCAAGATCACGCCATTGCACTCCAGCCTGGGTGACAGTGTGAGACTATATGTCTAAGAAAAAAGAAAAAAAAAAATGATTCAAGCAGCAGAGCATTCAGGCAAGTGTTAAGGACACTTCTGAGCACAGGGCCTTGGCTGCATAGTTTTTACATAGGCCCAGGTCTGGAGACAGTGCAAGGCAGGCAGCTGGCCTGCACCATGTGGGTGAACTGAGTCACACTGCCCTTTGCGGGGGTTGATGGGGATCTTTTCTAGGCTGTTGGCCTGGGCAGGGCTGAGGACATGAGCGGGGCTTGCCCTGGTCTGGGTTGAATAGGACACACTGGGACAAGTTGAAGGGAGGGGGATTGGAGCAGGGTGCTTCAGGGAGCATCATCTCTGTACATCAGGAAGCCCCTGAGCTTGGACACATGACTTAATCATCTGTCACAAGGTTCAGAGCAAAATCCAGAAGGTCAGGCAATGATGCATTGAAACTGTCACTACCCAAGTTAGCATTTTCCAGTATCATTAAAAAATGTTTTATAGATATGAGGTCTCACTGTGTTGGCTAGGATGGCCTCGAACTCTTGGTCTCGAGTGATCCTCCTGTCTTGGCCTCCCAAGGTGTTGAGATTACACACATGAGCCACTGCCCCTGGCCTCCAACACGGTTTTGAAATTTTTGATATATCGGTGATTTTTGGATCATACCTGTTGTTTTATTTCCATTAGAGAAAATTGACCTGGCCAGGTGAGATGGCTCACACCTGTAATCCCAGCACTTTGAAAGATGGGCAGATCACATGACATTTCTCCTGTGAGGGTTTGAGAGCAGTTTGGAAAAGATGGTGAAGCCCCACCTGTACTAAAAACACAAAAATTAGTCAGGCATAGTGATGGGTGCCTGTAATCCCAGCAACTCAGGAGGCTGAAGCAGGAGAATCTCTTGAACCCATGAGGTGGAGATTGCAGTGAGCTGATATTGTGCCACAGCACTCCTGCCTGGGCCACAGAACAAGACTCTGTCTTGAAAAAAAAGAAAAAAAAAAAAAAACACTTCAAAAGCAGATTTTTGTCACTGCCAGGTGACCTTACAAATTACTAACCATGGGTGTACAAGGACAAACGAAATGAGGGCAAAATAATTTATGCCTTGTTTTCTTTGCCTTTTACCTTCAGCCCCATGCATTCCTGCAAATGCTTTGCCCACAGCAAACGTTTGAAGACCTTGACTTTTCTAAGTGAGACTTCAAAGTGAATTTATGTTGTCTCGAAAGACAATCCCTTTACTGGAGAGCAATTGGTATTTAAAGAGAATGAGATCAGGTTGCTAATGACACCCTTGTTTGCAATTTTTGGTTTATATAAATTATTGGTGAATAAGAAAAATAAGTTTATTCTTTATTCCAGATGGGAAACCAGAAGGGAAGCGTGTTACAGGGTAAAGTGAGTCATAGGTTGTGGGAGGATCAGATGGAACAGGGCTCTGGGACTCCTCTCTTTCTTGACTTGGGACTTCTAATTTACCTACCAGGCCTCAAATTAAAAGACAAACAAAGGCTTCTAATTTGGTTAGGTGGGAACAGATAAAAGTTCCTCTTGGTGGGTGGATAGGGGAGGGAAGGAGAAAGTTTGTAGAAACTGAAAGAGGATGTTTTTTGGGGAGAGAGGAAGAAATCTCTTGTTTAATTACAAAACCAACATATCATTTGCAGTGCCTTCCTTCTCCTACCAGTCGTTTAAGAAATTGACATGTAATTCACATACCACAAAATGCAGCAATTTAAAGTGTACCATTCTCTGGTATTTGTTTGTTTGTTTGTTTGTTTTTGAGATGGCATCTCACTCTGTCACCCAGGCTGGAGTATACGGTGTAATCTCAGTTCACTGCAACCTGCACCTCCCAGATTCAAGCCATTCTCCCATGTTAGGCTCTCGAGTAGCTGGGGTTAAAGGCACCTGCCATCGTGCCTGGCTAATTTTTGTATTTTTAGTACAGACAGGGTTTCACTATGTTGGCCAGGCTGGTCTTGAACTCCTGACCTCAGGTGATCTGCCCACCTCAGCCTCCCAAAGTGTTGGGATTACAGGCCTGAGCCACTGCACCAAACTCATATTCTCAGTTTTTAATAGTTTCATCAAAGAAGTAGGAAGCCCACATATTACTTATCTATTTATCTAATGTTAATAGAGCTTTCTTATAACTTATGTTTACATAGATATCTTTTTTCATCCTGTTGTTTTCATCTTAGCTGTGTTTTTGTATTTAAAGGATGCCTCTTCTACATATTATATAGGTGGGTCATGTTTTTTTTGTGTTTTTTAAAATTCAATCTCACTATCTCACTTTCACTTGGAGTGTTAAGTTCACTTACAGTTTAATGGAGTTTCTAACTTATGCCATTCGTGTGTGTGTGTATGTGTGTGTTTCTTTTTGAGACAGTCTTGCTCTCTCACGCAGGCTGGAGCAAAATGATGTGATCTTGGCTCACTGCAGTCTCTGCCTCCCAGATTCAAGCGATTCTCCTGCCCCGGTCTCCTGAGTAGCTGGGATTACAGGTGTGCACCACTGTGCCTAGCTAATTTTTTTTTTTTGTATTTTCAGTAGTGAGCCAGCTTGCCTGGCCTATTTCTGTTTTTTTCCCCTTCCTTTCCTGCCTCCTTTTGGATAAATGGAGTGATTCTTCATGTATTCTTTCATCTCTAGTGACTTTTTGGCTGTATCTTTTTGCTCTGTGTTTTTAGCTATATGTGCTTTCTTTAGCAATTGTTCTAGGGATTACAACACACATCCTTACTTTTCACAGTTCACCTGCAGTGCTTATGACACTACTTGGGCAATAAGGCAGTGAAAAGGAATGAAGCACAGACATGGGCCACATGTGGGTGAGCCTGACACTGTATGCCAAGTCCAAGCAGCCAGTCACCAAGGGCCACATATTGTATGATCCAATTTATATGAAATGCCTAGATGGGAAAATACAGAGAGACAGGGAGCAGATTATTGGTTACCTAGTGCTGGGGGTGGAAGGAAGAATTGGGAGGGGTGATGACTAAGGATAACAGGGTTCTTTGTTGGGGAAATGAAAATGTTCTAAAAATCGATGGTGGTGATGGATGCACCATTCTGCGAGTATACAAAGAGCCACTGATGTTGATACTTTATTTTTATTTATTTATTTGTCTGGGGACAGTCTCACTCAGTTGCCAAAGCTGGAGTGTGGTGGCATGATCTTGACTCACTGCAACCTGCACCTCCCAGGTTCAAGTGATTCTTCTGCCTCAGCCACCCCAGTAGCTGGGATTATAGGCATGTGCCACCATGCCTATTTTTTTGTGCTTTTTTGAGACAGAGTCTGGCTCTGTCAGTGAGGCTGGGCTGCAGTGGCATGATCTCAGCTCACTGCAACCTCCACCTTCCAGTTTCAAGCGATTCCTGCCTCAGCCTCCCGTGTAGTTGGGATTACAGGCGCCTGACACCACATTAGGCTGCGTTTTTGTGTTTTTAGAAGAGGTGGGGTATCACCATGTTGGCCAAGTTTGGCCTCGAACTCCTGACTTCAGGTGATCTACCCGCCTTGGCCTCCCAAAATGCTGGGATTACCGGCCTGAGTCACTGCATCTGACTCCATAAAGTAAATTTATATTTACCTTTTAAGAAACTGCCAAACTGTCTTTTGGAGTGGCCATGCTGTCTTATTTTCCCCCAGCATGTGTGAAGGCTCCACTTCCACACACCCCCACTTGATATTGATAGTAACATCTTTTTGTTTGTTTGTTTTTTGAGATAGAGTCTCACTCTGTCACCCAGGCTGGAATGCAGTGGCACAGTCTCGGCTCACTGCAATCTCTGCATGCTGGATCAAGCAATTCTCCTGTCTTGGTCTCTTGAATAGCTGGAACTCCAGATGCAGGTCACCATGCCTCGCTAATTTTTTTGTAATTTTAGTAGAGGCAGGGTTTCGCTATGCTGTTCAGGCTGGTCTCGAACTCCTGACCTTGTGATCCTCCCACCTTGGCCTTCCAAAGTGCTGGGATTACAGGTGTGAGCCACCTCATCTGGCCGTGACATCTTTTTAATGTTGAACCTTTCTCGATAACATTTACAGCATGGCTTTCTTTGCATTCAAGGTGTTTCATTGAAAGATTTCTTCATATGGATATGAAGAAATATCCATATGAATATGTGTGTGCGTATCCCTTGTTTATTTCTGAGAGTTTTGTCTTTTTGGGGTGTGCTGTTGCAAATGGGATGTTTTCTTCTCTTTTCTGCTTGTTTGTACATAGGAAGACTGTCTGAGGCCAGGCATGGTGGTTCAGACCTGTACTCCTAGCACTTTGGGAGGCTGAGGCAGAAGGATTGCTTGAGCCCAGGAGTTTGAGACCAGCCTGGGCAGCATAGTAAAACCCCGTCTCTATTTTTTTTTTTTTTTTTT